TTAATTAATTATTATAAAATGGCCAAAAGCTTAATTTTGAGGCTGGTGGTGTGTTTTTAATAAGAAAAATTTGTAAATGCTAATAATAAGGAGGAAAATCGTAATTCATTCCGACTCTATTCGAGATACGACACACGATATCTCCGTTTATTTCCCCAACCCGTTCACCTTTAAACAAGAAAATTAAACAGCATCAACCCCCTAATACAAAACCTCCCTGCAAAATATCAAAAATTTTCGATAAAAAGCACAGAAGTTATTAAACTTCAAACAAGGTGAACAAAGTCGTGCCCCACACTTACACACACACTAACACTAACAGAAAATATTCCGAATTTTTTCGACGTTTTAAGGTGTCCTAAATCCAAAAATGTATAAATATTGGAGGTGAGATTGTTATTTTTTTTTTTTTTGACCGATCGCCATACATTTCCTCTGTTATATATAACTGCTGAGAAAATAAACATTACAGTATTTAAAATGTTTGCTCTAATACTCAAATTATTACTGTAGTGCCTTGCCCCTGTACATCATACTTTTCCTTGTATACAGGTGTTGTGCCGGTCGTCTATCTAACACATTTCCCGGATAAATTTTTGACAGTGGGAATTTATAGGTCTACAGTTTATTTTTTCAAATTACAGTTTAATCGCTACAGTTAACTCTTGAATAATGAAAACAAATTATTTATCATATCGTTCATAATTTGTATCAAACATCATTAATATTTAGTGACCCATGACCCTTTCTTGTTTAGAAACAGAAATGAATGACATAGTAGAAATACAGTCGACCCCCCCATAACACTGTTGATAATTCCGTTTTATATGAATTCCGTGTTGTACGAGTCACTTAGATTTTAGAAATACGTGTGCCGGGCTGTGAACGGCTCACGTATTTGTAAAATCTAAGTGACTCGTACAACATGGAATTCATATAAAACGGAATTATCAACAGTGTTATGGGGTCGACTTGTATTTTAATTATATTTTAACCTTTTCTCTGTTTTAGAATTAAAGAATGGACAACAATAAATAAATAATTAAACAATGAAAAATTTGAAGTACATAAGCTACGTATTCAATAGCGTAATAGGATATGATCCCCCCTCAAAAAAAATAATTGTCACGAGGAAATATAAGGCGATAAATGTAATTAATTTTTTCTTCGTATTTTAAAAAGTAAGAGGAAATGGGAAATTATAATATAATGTAATATAGAATTTAACACTTTATGAAGTGATATTTATAATATTTATTATGTTATTATTAACACAAAGGTATACAAAATGAATACACATTCTTTTATAGTTTATAGCTTTAGTAATAACAAAACTGTAGAGATTTTTGTAGTTATTTTTTTACTTTATTTATTATATTGAAGGGTTGCATCAGAGACACGCATTGTAACCAGTTACAAAGAAAAGTGACGAGCTGATTTCGCAACAAGTTTTTTTTTTACTGACGAGCAGAAATATAAGATAAATCGATTGCAAGATTCTGCATTGTGATAACACCTTTTCGATTGTGAGTACTGTATTTCATTATATTTGTATTGTTTGATAAGAAAATGTGTAATTTAGAATTAAATAACATTTATTTACTAATTTATATACAAATTTAGTTTTCATTAAATTAATAACTATTTTAATTAATGAGAAGAGATGCTACATTACAAAGCCTTTGATTTTATCGATCGTTAAGCTGAGGTTAATACCAGTTAAATTAATAAATAAAATGGAGTAACTATAATTTATTCTCTATCAATTTTAGATAGATACTAAAATTCAGACGGTGAAAGAAACTAAAATACAAATGTAAATGAAAGTCAGGATGCTAAATTCGTTACTTCTAGATTGTCGTATTTTACTTTTAAAGACTCTTCCGCGAATGTTTACGTGTTCTTTTACTTCTACACTTTAACGATTGAGTCATCGTTCAAACATTCTTCTTTTAAGTTTTCTTTTTTAGGTCATCATATGATCGTCAATGTCATTTACCTTCAGTTGATCGATTCGGAGAATGACCTGTTTAACTCATTCTGCTATTTGAAGCTGTCTACCAAAGTCGTTATATTTTTTTTTGTTTATGTATTCCAAATTATATATTAATATCTTATATAAGTTACAAGTACAGTAATCTATCTATTAGGCTATAGACTTATAATAATAATTAATATATAAAATAACTAATATTCGCTTATTTGATAAATATTTTTCTACTATTCAAGTAATTTATTATGCTATTTTCGAGTTTTGCTTCTCTCTAAATGTGAATGACGTAAATATAATTACATTAAATTATTTATAGAAAAGATAACACTACAGTATTTACATAAGAATTTAGAATACGACTACTTTACTTATAAATTTAAATTAGTATAAAATAATCTTTAATTTTTATTTTAAAGATTTAATTCATAATTGAAATATATGTACAAGTCGACCCCCCTATAACACTGTATATAATTCCGTGTTATATGAATTCCATGTTGTACGAGTCACTTAGATTTTACAAATGCGTGAGTCGTTCACAGCCCGGCACACGTATTTGTAAAATCTAAGTGACTCGTATAACATGGAATTCATATAAAACGGAATAATCGAGTGTTATAGGGAGGTCGACTGTATAATTTTTAAAAATTAAATATTTATATATCAATATATTTACTCTTTTCTTCTTTGATTCAATTGTTCTCCCTATCAGCAATATCTTTATTTTGATATAGTCATTTTTAATTACAATAGCTAAGAGTGGTGTAATAAAGTGAAATCCCTTTGGACTTGATTATCATTAGATAAACGTAATAAAGTTGATACCTTTTGCATATTAATAATGTTTTTCTGTAGAAATTTCTATTGATAAGTAAAATATCTCTGTTTCTCGTTAAATTTCTTCACTTAAAATATTCGTTCCGACATTAAGGTACTGTATTTTAATTTATATAATTGAGATAATGTTTTATTTGTACAGTAGACCCCCTATAACACTAGATAATTCCGTGTTATATGAATTCCATGTTGTACGAGTCACTTAGATTTTACAAATACGTGTGCCGTACTGTGAACGGCTCACATATTTGTAAAATCTACATAGAATGGTTGTAGCGACGCCATGTTGAAAGAAATTGAATACACCTCCGCCATTTTTCTTTTAGTCAAAGGGGCGTAGCATTTGTATTGTGTAAAGGCAACGAGCTAAAATATTCTAACTCGTTGTGTAAAAGCGTGCAAAGGAAGGGAAGAGTTTTAAATTTGTACAGGTAAAAAGAAATTATTTGTTATCAAGAAACAATGATATAAAGTATTAAAGTTCTTTCGATTTTATATGATTATCACATAGCAAAATAGCTTTTGCTTTTAATGAAATAATAGTTTTATGCTATTAAACTTAATATCTTTATGAATTACATTTTAAAGTATTTTAATAATTATTTTGTTAATATATCGTACTTATTCTGACTACACTCTTTATTTGTCTTATTGGTCCATTTATCATGCATGTAATCGAATTTAATAACAGGTTGCAGGTGATATAATTTTATTGACATTTTACTTTCCCCACTGTTAGAAGATATAACGTAGGGAAAGTATTTTAATCAATAAAAAATATAAAACAATGGGTTCGGTGAAATTTCTAAAAAATATAATTTCTAAAAATAAAAGATTATCTTTAGATAAGATAAACACTCTTTCTTAAATCGATTTCGAGTCATTTATATCAGCAGACAAATAATTAACAAAGATACTATACTTCAGCCAACATTATTTCTTTTATTATTTTCAAACTTCTCTCCAAATGCATTTCGCCGTTACAGCCTCATCGGTGCATTATCCAACATTGAGCAACTCGTTCCCTTTTATACAAATAAATCTTTTCCAGCATGCATCAATATTTAGACCGACATTCTAATTTAACAAATTTACATGTTCAGCAATACAAAACTGCTCTATCACTCGTCTTTTAAACCAATTTTCCATTTTATACAATTATAATTACTACAGTGTTGATACCACGGTGACTCTTGTCTTTTTAGACGAATCGCTGCCTCGTCTTATTTTAGGTGTGTCTCGAGCCTCCGTCCCGTTTCTCCAGCATATGATTTCGCTTTCAAACAATCGCACGATACTTTGTAAATCACTCCTGCGACATCAAGCTGATTTTTTACTATATTTATAATATTAATAATAATATTCGACATTTTGTTTTCCTGCTTGGCCACTACTCATATAGAAAACTTTTTTAAAAATGGGTTTATATCGTTCGTAAAGATTATGTATATAAGGCATTTTTACATAAGTATTATTATTTATACAATTTTTTACATTATATCTGTAATTTATAAAAGAATTATACCACT